GAAGGTACACGTGCCCACTCACTGCCCAGTTTATGGTCTAAGAACCATCCCCCTGGAGCCCCTGGTTGACATCTTGGACACACCTGCTTTAGGGGGTCTCGCGTTGCCTTCCGGATGACGCTGGGTGTAGTGAAGCCAAGGTGCATGCCAGGCCAAGGTCGTTTCGGACGTAGTTCACCTGCACGGTTTCTGCGTGTCAAGAACCAGTTGGCCAAACTTGAATAACTCCCTGGGAGGCCCTGGGCCATCCAACGGGGATGTGTCCAATGGACATCACTAAATCTTGGAGGCAAAGTCCACTAGACACCGGCTTGGCTTGATCTCGCTCACAATGTGAGACCTTGCGGCATCTTGCGGCCACATCTCCAAAGTCATTGCTCAGCTTGAATTTGTTAAATCATCCAAATCTGTTGCCATGCTGGTTGCCAGAGAGTGAGTTGGGATTGCCTGAGAAGCCCCAACCAGGATACCATGAAAGGGGAGGTTCCAACCATTGCCAGTACCAATCCCAACAACTTTCATTGTATGCTGCTGCTTGTGCATGTGAATTGCTTGAATTGTTTGCATGTAAAAACATGTCATCAAATGTAGACAAACATTTCATGGTTTGTTTTAAATGTGTTTTGATGAGATCGAACGTACGTGAGATCGGAGGGGGCTCCGTCAGAGTTTTTGAGAGGGAGGTCAGCCCTCAGAGCCTCAGAGTCTCAGGCTCAGTACATTGAGGAAGGACCAAACCAGTGGGACCAGGCGCGGGGGGCGAGTGGCCATGGCGATGGCACGCGGGTTCCGGACGAGACCGGAGGGCCCCTGAAGTGCGGCCCCAGCTTCTCCCAGAGTCGCGGGCCAAGGTGGCATGGGTTCGACTTCGGATGACCAAATCAGAATACCAAACAGGTGGTGCCATCCACGTAACCATGATGATTCCAGGGAGAGCGTACCATCACACAACCCCCATATGAAGGGATGCTGTGCCCGTTTCCAAGTTCTTTTCGTCAAGCAATCTTCAGACCATTTGTATCCATTTGTCATGCGACATTGGGTCTGAGATGGAGCTGTTTCAGGCAATACGCGAAGAAGAGATGAACGACTTGTTCCTGACCAAGGGAAGCTTTTGTGGTCGTTGCCCCCGCAAAAACTCGGGTCCATTGGACATCCTGAACACCAACTGCGGCCGTTTGAGGAGAAGACACCTCCGAATCTACTAGGTGGCTTGGCATTGGGAACTGGCAGATACGTCACTGAAGGGCCAGCTACTTGCTGACTGAATCACCACTTAGCAACAACCAGCCCCAAATCCAAGCAAGCCTTTGTTTCGGATCGACAACAAGGCTTTCTCCCATCCCACCTTTATCGTTGGGCGGTGTCCAAAGAGAGAGGTCCCCTGGAACCCTTATGTACCCTGGAACGCAGACGACTAGTGACTAGGCCTGATTCGGCCAGGCTTGAGTTCGAAAGCTGGATGGGCCAGTCTGGCAAACTCCTACCCCTCAGTCACGTCGAGGTATATACAGTAAGAAGAAATCATGATTCAGATTGGACCTCCTTTTTCCGTGGTCGGACGATGCTTAGCTTGAGATCATGGAAGTTGCCCAAGAGGAGTCTCACCCGCCCTAAGAATCGGATCCGATCTCCAAGGACCTTGATGTTCACCCAGCAAAGCGGCCAAAACCGGTGGTTTTTCCGGTCAACACAGGACCCAAGGTCACGCTCCGGGGTGGGTGTGTGTGTGTGATACCCAGTCCCAGTCATCTGTTTGGGACGACCGATCAGGCCATCCCGGGATGGTGAAAAAAGGGTCGAGGCATCTATTCCGGTTCCATGGAGTCTATGGAGTGTTTGGAATCAACTTGCCCAGACGCTCCGTTCACAGCCCGACTGGTCCCTCAAAACCGATTTGAGACCCCTGACCCCTCCAGAGGATTCGGGTCCGACCCCTCCATATGAGGGTCCAGGAGCGTCTGGGTGACTTTGATTTGATGCTGAGGGGTGTCAACCCAGTGGCACGTCTTGACTTCAGACCCGAAAGAAGAGGTATTGATGTTGGCGTTGCCGGCGCGACGCCAAACAGGTACCCCCGGTGGTGAACAACCAATAGGTACATGATACCTATGGTATCTACTCCTCTATTGCTGTATCCCCAAGGGGGGGCATGATTGGTTGGGGCTTCCATGTATAGAGCAATCACTCCAGCTTGTGAACCACATGCTTTCACCACTTCTGTGACCTGCTTTGTGTTGACACTGTGTTCGATCGCATCATTCAACCTGTAGACCTTCGCACGACCACCGCAAGACCTGGATCTAGAAAAGGCATGAAAAACACAATTTCTCGAGAAGAATCTTATAAGGCCTGTTCATGAGAAGTGGTAGTCTGTGGTTAGGGAATTGGTAGTCAACAAATGGAGTTACTCCCGTTCCTTTCCTTTAAGTCTAGGCTCAGGCAGGCTACTGGCACGGCCTCAGGTGGCTCCCGTGAGTAGCTCCGGGGAGCGCGTGGGACTTCCTTAAAGGTTGGAGTGTTCACTCTGTGGAAACATGCACGTTCATGCGGAGATGTTCTCTTTTTCGAAGCAGAAACCGTTTTAATGTGCAGGTCCCCAAATGGAGATTCTCGCGTGCTTCCTTTGCTCATGTTTGAGAGTCCATGCAGGGGCAGGACAGAACAGCACTAAACTGCATGCCGAGGGTGTGTCTTTCGTGGTACCCTCTCGGACTCTTTCATTCCAGAAAGATCCAGAAAGTAGAAAGTAGATGTGGATCCGTGTGGATCCCTCGCACGCGCAGTTAAACAGCTTTAGGCCCGCTGTTTTAGGCCCGATGCGAATCGCCCCTTGATGCAGTTTTCAGCGATTCTGCACCGCACCGGCGGAAATGCCCATGAATCCGCAGTGAAATCTACCGATCAAAGAACCCACAAGCATCCAGAACCACAACCCTACAGGGCCCTACAGGTCAGGAGATTGCCCTCACTTCGGAGGCTTGTGGTGACACCATGAGCTCCAGGTCTTTCCAGCCCAAACTGGACGTCCCCGGTCGACTTCTGTCACTGAACTTGGTCCTGCAACCCTTCCTGCCCTATTCAGCCTCTTGGGCCCACGGCCCGGGCTCCACAAAGATGGAGCTGTTCCGCCGGCGAAAGGCGGGTGAAGTGCGACGTCCGCGCAAAAGGGACGGGTCTGCGGGGGGACGACATGGATGAGGTTCACTTGGGCCTGATGTTTTTCACCCAAGACGATACTTCATATGATACTTCTTTTCTTTAGAACACCTGCCTTAGAAGATCAGAGCAACTGCACAGATAGAGGTTTGGAGAATTCATCCATCCAGCCGTTTGATTGCAGATTTTGGACGAACAGGAGGAGTTTTGGAAAGACCTTTTGGGGAGCCAGGCAGCTGCATAGCGTGAAGGACACTCCGTGGGACTGGCACATTTGCCGGCTCTGGCTATATGAGTCCGGAATGTACCATGCACTTCAACAACCGAACAAGGCCTGGCAAGGCTGTTCTTCGAAACCTGGCGCCCAGGCAGAGGTGATCAGAAAACCCGGCTCTTCTCAAAAAGATACCCTCCATCCCACAAACATGGAAGTGGAACAAGGCCCCATCGGAAGGCTGAATTCCTCTATGAACAGGCTGTATTCCACTTCCATGATTGTTTCAGGGAGGGTATGGGTTTTTGGCTACACCATGCCCTTCGCAGGTGGGTGAGCACTTTGCTCGCATCACCGTGCCCTTGTACGAGGCGTGCCTTTCTACGGGGCAAGGCCGGAAGGGGAACCGGTTTCCAGTGAAATCCCTAGGGATCCACCTTCGGAGAAGCTGATGTGTTCGACACTGGTTTCGGTGCCAGGAGGGTCCAGTCGTATCTTTTATGACTGGATCCTTAGGAAGTGATGTCCACATACTCTAGTCGAAGTATGTTGAAGTTGGCGCCATCCGCATGCCAGGCCTCTTCTTTTTTTTTTCTCGTGAGGCTTTCACACGCTCACGCACCAATCAGATGGCATTATTCTGGTCGGAAAGGATCTGAAGTCACCGGAAACTGGTGAGAACAAGCGCGAGCTGCTCGCTTCCTCGCTTTGTGCGCCCCCCCCCCCGGCCGTTTCGGTGGACCGTGACCGGGACAAGAACAGCTCAACCGGCGACGGCGCGAGGCTCCGAGGCGACGGGGGGGGTCGAAGGAAACGGCCGTGGAAAGCGAGCGATGTTCGTGTGAGGCAGGTGTCAGGAAGCCTCATGTCCTAGATGATTCTCCCTAGGGATCCAAGTACCTTCTCAGAAGGCACCTGGACCCTCCTTGGATCCCTAGGGTCTGTAAAGAATGGGTTGAACGACGAGCCTCAGTGCTTTTTTTTTTTCGAAGGGGGATGTCTGAACTTATAGCGCATGTGGAGCATGTGGAGCGACAATGAGCGACACACATGTCCTGGTCAGACCGTCGGACTTACAGCTGGTGAGCTGCGGGCAGGGAGTGGATCCCCATTGAATCCAGGAACTGGAGCTCCCTACACTTCCAGGACCGGACTGTTTGGACGTCCAAGTCTGGGCTGCAAACCCCCAAAACTGGAGCTCATGTTGTAGCCTCCAGGCGCCTCCAGGAGCAAAGTGAGGGTAGGAGACCTCTCCTGACCCTCAGATCGGCCCCTCACATCGGGCAGGTGCAGTCGCCCATGGCCTCTTGGCCTCTTGGCGCGGTGCGGTCGGTGCGGTCTTGACGGGAACCGTGCTTTCCGAAACGAAGGAATGACAGTGACGAGGACTTGTGGAATGGTGCTATACCAGGACCCTCCTGTTGGGGTGCCCTGGAATAGGAAGCCCAACGGCCGGTAGTGTGGGGTAGTCCAGCCAGGACACCCCAAGGGTCGGAGGGTCCTGGTATATGTGCTTGTAATATGGGTTGGATTTGTCCCTAGAAACCTGTCACCGTCAGCGCGCAAGAACATCACCATTTCAGAGATGCCCTTGCTAATCATCATCATCGATGGCGACGGGTAATAGGCATAAGATAAACCTGTGTTAAAATGCTTGAGACCCACTCGGGCCCCCTCAAGAAAAGGACCATTTGCTATAGGCTATAGTACTATAGAACCTACCAGAACCCCGTTGGTTGGGGATCTCCCTATCAAAAAGCACCCGCACACAGCCAGTGACTAACCCGCAGGTCAGATGGATCACCAGGTGTGGCTTGATGGGTTTTCATTTGATGGACACACACCCTAGGGATCCAAGTACCTTCTCAGAAGGTACTTGGACCCTCAAAACCCACATAAGAGTGTCTCCAATCACCGTACCTGAGAAGGTACTTGGATCCGTAGGGACATGGTTTGGAAAGGGCAGTAGCTGGTCCATGCCTTTTGGACGTCAATGATGTCATTTGCTCGCTTCAAGCTGCAGATGATTTGGCAGCTTGACCCTCGATCCAGATCCTTCTGTGCAGATCCTTCTTCGCAGGGCTGAGGAGCTGGTGGCTTTTTGAACTTCAGAGAGAGTTTCTTTGGGGGACTTGTTGGTTCGACATCGAAGACTTCTTCACGTCCGTTAACTCCATGCTCTTTGATCGACTCGCGTCACTCGCGCAGATCTCCGCTCGACTCGTCCTCCACTTTGCTTTGATGGCGCCAGCTCTGGGCTGGCGCCACGCGTTCAAGAGAAGGGTGCGCGACTGGGGGAACTGCAACCCAAAAACCACGGTCCGGGGAGGCCGCGAAGCGTCCAGTGTTGCTCCGGTGGTCGCATGGCCAGTCCTGCCAAGCCTTTCCACGATCCTCCTGGACGCTTTGAGCGAACATCCCGGAACACATCGAGTTGGGCTGACTCGGGGGTAGGTTGACGCTGGATGGTGGAGCAAGACTCAACATCGAGTTGGGCTGACTCGGGGGTAGGTTGACGCTGGATGGTGGAGCAAGACTCAATAAGATCCTTTGAATTCTATCGTTTAGTCAAGTCGTGCCAAGTCTGCCAATACCCTATATGCCCTATATAGGTTTCAAAGACAATTAACCAATAATGGTTGACCTGGTGCAGTGAAAAATCCTCAGTAAAACAATGATGGCTGTTCTGTAAAGGCAATTGAATTAGTGGTGGTTGGAATCCTAGGGGCTAATGGTAATTGCAAACAGGGAGGCTGAGGCTGAGGGTTAGGTTCTACAATTCCCTCATCTTCGGCGTGTGTTGGGAAGCTTTAAGCACGTCCTGTTCTATTGAGTTTTTTGGACTTCAAGGAGCGGAGACGGCATCGGAATTTCCCTAGATAGAGGTAAGAGTGCCTACCCGTAAGCCACCGGGCAGGACATGCTTTGTGCATGAGCCCTACTGGCATGCCCCTGAAGACCTTCACCACACATTGGAGTCTTTGACCTAATGGAGAGCGGCCTGTATGTCAACCAGCAGGGCAAGTTGGCATAAGCACGTGTTTGCACTGGAAGGCGCGTTCCGCATGTAGGAAGGAGGCTTGTTCAGTGAGGCTTGTCCAGCTGCGCCTCCTGCGGTTGGGCCCCACGGATCCGCCAGGGGCAGCCAGGGGTTCCAGAGCGAGTGGCGATGCTTTAGGCTCCCCGCTTTGGCCGGGTGGCCCGCAGTCATTCGGGTGGCCTTGAGATGTCACGTTTTCGAGTAGGTGCGGGGCTTGGACACTTGTAGGTCCTCTTGCTTCAGTCAGCATTGCCAAGCCTATCAGAGAGCAGCTCAGGCCGTGGCTAAGATGGCCAACGAGGAGAAGTCAAGTGCCCTGACCTTAGATGGCTGGCCCTGTGGTGAAGGGCACGCAACCGACGTGGCCCTGACACTCCATGTCTGTCATATACCTACACTGGGGTGAGTGAGATCAATGTGTGAAATTAGGAACATATAGCCTGTTTAAAACTTGCACATATATAAAAACTATATATACATTATCCCATAAGTGGAGTGTTTGGGGATGTTGCCTTGACACTATGGCAGGCCAGGCTTGACTGTCCCCGAGGCACGCGGCCTTGGAAAGAAGGCGGGCAGCATGGGACCCTGCACCCGGATGTTTTGGAGGTCCCGGTTGCTGAGTTGATGGACGGGCGATTTTGCTAGTCCTACCCCGGAAAAATGGATCACCTGCAAAACCTTTACTTTGTGGAGATTGGCTTCCTCACCACCAAATAGAAAACAGATGGAAAAAGGCTCGCACTTGCCACAGCAAACCGAGTACTTCGGACATCTGCAGAAGGAATTCCAGAGTCCTTTTCGCGGGGGAAACGGGCTTCAGGGGCGCAACGGTTGGGGTGTAGGCGTACGGGTTTGCGGTCGGTGGTGGATTCGTGGGTGTGAGTATGTTTGATTTGGAATTTGGTGTGATCTGTAGACTTAGTTGGGTGTATGTTGACCACCCACATAACGCAAATTTGCTCAAAAACAATTCAGAACATATGGCACCATCATCCATTTACCGGGTTTCAGTATAACTTATACAATGTTAGTCAGCTGTTAGTCCGCTGTTCACCGTTGTTTCTCTACTTAACTTCATCGTGGGTTCGTCATCGATGGTCGGATGGACTCGTTGTTTCGACGTTGTTCAAGGCGTTTTTGTTCGGTCATAGCAGCTGGAAGACCTTAAATGGGTGAACAAAAAGGCATTATGAATTTCATTAAATGATGTGTTCAACATGTTGGGATGGGTTGAAATGTTGCAGAACACCAAAGGTCGACACGTTGACATGGTTGTTTTTTACGTCCTCCAAGAAGTAGATCGCACTGGCGCCCAAGTTTTGCTCAGAAGATCTACCTTCTTCGGATTTCAGACTCCGTTCCTTTGTCGGGTTCCGGAATGATGGAAGATCAGAATCAGGCTGAGACAAGATGACAGGGTGTAGTCCTGAAAAACAAGCCAACTCGCTAGTGGCACCCATTAAACTCAATGGCCTTGGATTTTCTCCCCAAAAACGCTCATGAACATCTAGGAACACCCCAAAAGGATTAACAAATGTGTCAGGTCATATCAGGCCATAAGACTGACAGTTGTGATCAATTGTTTGAATCCTCAAAAGCTAAGAAACACATCTTGAGGGGGACGGAACGCCACAGCGCTTTGTGTTGCCCGAAGTTCCCAGTCAATGGCTTTTTTCCTCAGCGCTGTTCGTCGTGGGAGCCGCTGTGGGAAAGGAGGATTCAGACAGAAACAGAACAGATCACATAAGAACAAACCCCCAGACGCGCCCCTGGGCCCTCATATGGAGGGGTTTGGGGTCTCAATTCCCTAGGGTTTTGAGGGACCAAGGGCTGTTTGAAGCGTTTGGGCTTAAACAAAAAAGAATGGGAAAAGAAAGGACAGTGACGGGCAGAAAGGATCCAAGTCGGTCGATGAACACTGCCAGGCCGGGCTTAGTGGCTCAGCTGAAAGACGCCGGCTGCGGATCTTCGAAGCGGGAGATCCGCAGATTCCGCAGGTTCCCCAACCATGGAAGGTTCTTTTTCCTGGACAGGTTTTCCATCTGTTCCGGTGATTCTGTGGTTTTTCCTGCCCCTCGTGCGAGGGGCAGGGATGTATTCCTCAAGGTTCTTTTCGCAGCGGTTGAATGGGATGGGACTAGAGCCTGGGCCATCCATCCTCAAGGCTGGTTTTGGGGGATCATGTTGATTCTTGGATTCTTCACTATGGATGACTCCTTTTTGCGGGTGTATGTGTTCTATTCCCCGGCTTCCGGCTTCGCATCTTCCGGCTTAGGGACGGTCCATCTCACTAAGGGGTGGATGGTGCTGTCGTTGCTGGAGGAGCCCGCAGGCACGACCTCCATGGGTCGATCTGAAGCTGCGTCGCCGTCGCGCAGGGCGGCAGGAACATACTGTAGAGTCTTCCCAACCATTGAACGTCTTTCTTTTATTTTTGCAACTTTCATGTGACGTTTGTCATTATATCATTATACGATTCTAAGTCAAAAGGTGTCCAAACTCACATAGTTGATAGCGGCTGATCGTTGATCGGGGTGATGGTTTCATATACCTGCTAACCTCGAGACCTTAAAATTTATACGCCAAATAGGAAAA